TTTTTTTTTTTTGTTTTTTTTTTTTGTTATCTGTCCACCCTTTTCTTTTATTCAAGGCTCTTACGAAATGTGTTGTTGTTCATTGTGTTGTTAACTCCTTCACTGTCACGGCTGGTTTAGAATCGTATCATTGAGCTTCTGCGCGCTCAGGCGAATAGGTAAAAGTGCTGCTGTTTTTGTTGTTATCCATCCAGCAACAGCTGGGCTCTCGCCCTTCTGTCCAATGCCATGTAGTGATAAGTGCAGGTTTGCTTCAGTTGCTGTAAAGTTCCATAGAGTAGAGTGTGTTGTCAATGCTGGGTCTCGGAATGAGAAGGGTAGCTCTGATGTCATTTAGGGCTGTGTAGTGGAACAGGTGATCCACAGTCGCATATGTGTAGTCACACAAGGGACTCATTGGGGGAAGTTCTGAATGCATTCTGTTCAAGTGGAAGTTGAGCTGTATTCGAGCATGTTCTGCTCGTAAGCGGAAGATCGTGGTCTGTTTCTTTCTCTGTAGGTGGTTGATATTTTAATTCCGTTTTGTTGTAGTCATATGTTTGAAAATACCCCCAGTGGGTCGGGGGGATATAAATAGACCCACTGCTTCGTCTGCAGAAGGTGCAACCCCCTCAAAGGCGAAGTGTCGCACACGGACCCCAACCCTCTGGGATTCGTGTGCGACGCTTACTTTGGTGTATCTTCCTCTTCTCCTTCCTTCTTTCTTTCTCCTTCTATCTTTCCTCCCACCGCTGACCTCATGTGCAGAAAAAAGAGAGGCCACCCATCCCACAGATTGTTATTTATAAGAGTTGTTTTAAATCGCAAATATATTTACACTGAATTTTAGTATCTTAGCATTTTAAAGTCTAATTGTCGACATACCGTGCAGTGAACTGTTGTGAATGCTACCAACTTGTGTTTTGCGCGCTCATATGCAGTTGCGAGCGCCGTAAAACCCTGTACTACTACTACTACAGGCTGCAGAGATCTCACTGGAACTTCCTTTTGGGTACTGTATTAGTATTCCATATCCGGTTTTGGTTGTGCCTTTGAATCCTGAGCCGTCTGTATAGACGTGTATCCAGTCATCTGAATAGCTGTCGATTGTTTGATGTGGTGCAAGCATCAGCGTCACTGGGTCTGAAGATTTTGTGCTATTAATTATTGTTTCTGGGAGATATTGTAATGATTGTTTGTTTTTTTAATAAAGGTGGGGAGGGGTGTTTTGGTTGACTCTTTTGGTTTCTTTTCTGTTTTGTGGTAGATGGTGACTCTCCGTTAGTTGTGTGATGTGATGCATGATTGACTTTTTTTGAAATTCGTTTCTTTGGTTTCCATAATTATACTAATTTCCTGTTTGGGTGGTTAAGGCACATTCTTTTGGTTCTTTCATGTCGCTCCAAGTAGGTGTGGATCTCATGCCACCATTTATGAAACGAAGGGCATTATTTTGGACCTTCTTAAATGTGTTGCAAGTAGTTGTACTACACATTGTGAGTAGACTATTGCTGTATTCCAGGGAAGATCGGACATAACCAAGGTATAGAGTTCTCAGAGTTTGTTTGTCTGATCACCATGAACTGCTTGCGAGTTTCTTTAAAAGTTAGTCTTTTTTTTCGCCTTGTTGTTTACGTTCTCCACTTGGCTTTTCATGATGAGACTGTGGTCAAGTTTGACTCCTAGGTATGCCGGTTGTTCTTCTTTGGGGAGATTTTCATTTCCTATCTTCAGTTGGAGTTTTTCTTTGGCTGCTTTATGGCTCTTTGTAAAGATGGTGTATACTGTTTTCATACAGTTTATTTTTAGTTTCCTTTTCTGAAAGTAATTGTGGAGCCTCTTAAGGTCTTCATTTAATTACCCTGCTTCTACTACCGTGCTGTGATGTGTCTGCCAGAGAGCAAGATCATTAGCGTAGAGTGTCTTTTCGGATTTGTGCACGTCCGTTACATCATTGAAGAAGATCAGGAACAAAGTGCAACTCAGACAGGAACCTTGGGGTAGGCCTTCCTCAAATACTTCTCTTGAGGAGTGGGCATTGTTTTCCTTGGTTCCAATTTTTCGATCCGACAGGAAGAACTTGATCCATTTATATAGTTTGCCATGTATCCCGAAGTCCATCATTTTCATGAGTAGGCCTTTTCTCCTCACTCTGTCGTATGCCTTTTGGAGATCTACAAAAATGGCGACACTGTGTTTAGTCTCCTGAAAACCATCCTGGTTGTTTTGACTAAGTTTAAAAAGCTGATGCTTTACTGATATGCGCAAAGGCATATGGACAAACAGACATACTTATGGACAGTCACTCAAACAAGCCGTCAAGTTATTCGCATAACTAAACAGTTTTGTTTTGTGTGTGCGTTGTATATAATTACGGAGGGGAGAAGAACACACTTACACACACACACACACACA